CTTCTTCGCGTTTGTGACCTCCGCATTGCGTAGGTTGCCCCAGGTTCTCTTCCGCGTTTGCGACCCCTGTGTCACGTTCACGATGAAAAAAAATCCAGCAACCCAAAATCCTTCTTCGTGAACGCGTGAATTCCTTAGCGTTCACGAAGGACAAAACCAGAACTAGCAGTAGCAACATCAAGAACATGAAGAAATTATCAGAAACCACCCCGAAACACACCCGAGGCACCGGGACCCCTTCCAGTCATACCAACCAGTACCAACATAACATGGACCTGCTCGAGGCCTCAAATCACATCAAACATCATCCAAACTATGAATCGACGATCGAAACCTTCCTTTAAACTTACAAACTCTTAAACATTGCCGAACGCGTCCGAATCATATGAAAACATTCCGAAATTATGCTAAACTTTGCGTACAAGTCATAAATCATGATACGAACCTATTCCAAGGCTCGGAACCCTAAACGAATATCGATATCACCAAAGTCCACCTCAAACCAAGCTTAGGAAATTCTAAAAATCTTAAAAATGCCAACTTTCCACAATAAGCGTCGAAATACTCCCGTGCGACCCGATACTCAACCCGAACATACGCCCAAGTTCAAAATCATCATACGAACCTATTGGAACCTTCAAATCTTGATTACAAGGTCGTTTACTCAAAAGTCAAACCATAGTCAATTTTTCCAACTTAAAGCTTCCGAAATTAGAATTTTCTTTCCAAATCAACTCCGAACTTCCCGAAATTCAATTTTGACCACACGTACAAGTCATAAAATATGAAGTGAAGCTACCCGAGGCCTCAAACTGCCGAACGATGCTCTAGAGCTCAAAATGATCGGTCGGGTTATTACACTTAGCCCCTTCCCCAGGTAAATTTTTCTTTCTGGGAACTCGATAAACAAAATGACTTGTCTGAGTTCCTCTGCAGTTTATTTTGTTGCATCTGTATCTTCTGGTCCCTAAAAAGATCTGGGTACCTAGTAAATATATTTTGTCCCCTCCTTAACATTTTCTTCCCTTGATGTATCTACTAGAATTGAATTGAGAATTAGCACCGGAGTCTGTAATTGTTATTTATCGATTCCAACTCCCTTACTGTTAGATAAAGTAACTATATTTATTTCCTTAGCAGCGGGATGATCACCTCTAATCTTCTTGAATCCATCGGGTGTTGGGAATTTTAATAATTGGTGATAAGTTGACGGAATAACCTTCATATCGTGAATCCCCGCAAGTTAAAATACAATGCATCCCCTAAAATGCAAAACCTCCTCAGGCGATACCAAATAGTGCCAGCGTTCTCTTAAACATCTGAAATAGTCTGTGCCGTCTAGAACTCATGACCTTTCCTTCGAAGCAAAAACACAACCTTGTACTTGCAACTTTCAATCCCACACGGCGCACCGCAACTATCATGCTAATTCGTGAAAATAAGAAAATCTTATAATCAACTCTGAATCACAAGCAATTTGAATACCTCATCCACTAAGAACCTTCCACATAACTCAATCCATGAGAACATCACCACGCGCAACATACCTTATACACATTTAGAAATCAGCAATCCTCGAGTCGTGACCATAACCATCATGAATTCTTCAAAACTCATTAGCACATAATCAAACCATCAGAACTGATTTCCTCTAACTCAACTAAGTCATGCAGGCTTCCAAACCCAAAAGTAACTCAACCTGAAATGCTCACTCTGAAGAGACCTTCTGCGAATCTGAAGCCATTTCCTGCATCTCTTCATTGTTGACATGTAGAGTCATTATTGATATAGAAGTATCGAAAATCCAGACACCATCCCATACTGATCTCCCGGCCTATCCATACACAAATCCGAAAATCCTTAAATACCACATGTATATCTTGAAATCATCGGAACATCCTCGATAACCATTCACCTTGCTTTAATCTCCAATACACATCCAATACGTACCAAATAACCCGCACTTTACCGGCACATGAATATCCAAAGAATCATCCAAGTTATTCCTTTTCCTTGCATGCTACCTCCATAACAAATATCAAGCTTGAATTATTCCCGAAGTCATCCCTTAGTCCAAAAATTGGTATAACACGTGACCGTGCAATCTGATTGTCTATAGCAGACTCCCCCACTTGGCTCGAAGCCATAGAACACATCATCGGTAATCCACCGTACCCTTCCTTTATAGTTGCCCCGATCCCACACTGCTAATCAGCTAAATACTTCATACACTTATGTAACTCTAGTCATAAAACACTCTAAAGACACTTCCAAGTGCATACTTATCCTTTTGACAACAAAGACAACTTCTTCCAAAGCTCCGAAATAATAAGATATGTATTTCATTAAATAGAAGCCCCATACTAAACACACAACCTCGAATCTTCGCGCAGGAGATAACCCACCGACTAGCCTCAAATCAATACCTTCCCATGATCCTACCCCGCCACAACAACTAGTCAACCAATTAATCCTCCCGAGTCTACACTATTGTAGACTACGAGGCGGTACCTCGGGAGGGCTCTATTGTCATTTCCCCTTTTTTGCGCACTTGTGTTTGATTGTTGTTTTCCATAACAAACTATTAATTGTTCTCGTCCATGTTACATTATTCGCTCAGTTTTATGTAGCTAATCTTGTTGTACTGGTCGTCGCTTCAAACTTTGTTGCCGTCTTATTTGCACTGTTTATTTTGTGGTGATCGTTTCTTATGTGCCATTCATTGTCTTTGCTCTTATTTGTTGACTTGGATCGTGGTAGAACACTTGTACAAGCATATACATAAATTAATCACCCATATCAGTTTAAAAAGATGAATCCTAACGTTAATGACCATTACATGTATCACTGTCTACTTGCCTTCTGTGTGAGAGTTGCTTCCCTTGGTACGTGAGTCGTCCATGCAGTTATGAATTGAAATGTGCGCACAAGATGCCAAATGATTAGGATTCAAGAATTGGGACCCGTGAGTTGTGATTATAATGTTTGGTACCTTATGGAAATGCTTTAACAGATCTGATGTGAAAATGATTGTTCTTATTGAGTTATTGCTGGTTTCCCCTTTTATTTGGTTTTTCCCCAAACTTAGATTGTGATCAGTTACTTTATAGCATTATTATCTTACTGCTTCTTGTTGCCTATTGTTGTTACTAGTATATCATTTCAAGTATTGTTCTGTATTTCGTATCCTGTCAAGCTTTATATTAATATTGTTCTCTGTAGTTCATCTACATACTTGTTCAGGTTGTTTAGTCCAGTAGGTGTCTTGACTGTCCCTCGTTACTACTCCATCAGGGTTAGTCTTGATACTTACTGGGTACCATTGTGGTGTACTCATACTATGCTTCTGCACATTTTTGTGCAGATCCAGGTGCCACAGTTGTTGTTTATTAGCTGGCTGGTCGAGCTATGGAGACTCAAGGTAAACCTGTCGTCGCATTCGCATGCCTCAGATTCACCTTCTGATTTCGTTTTTGTATTATTTGATTTCCATTCCGAACAGTTGTACTTAAGAATTATTCTTAGAGAACTCAGTAGAGCTTATGACTTATACTATCGGTTTTAGGAATTATAAGTTAAGTATAAAGGTTTTTATTTCGTATTTAATAGTTAATGCTGAAATTCTTCTAATAATTAAGCAAGTGTTAGGTTTACTTAGTCTTAAAAATAAGGTGCCGTCACAATATTCTATGGAGAGAAATTAGGTAGTAACAATTTGGTATCAATAGGCAGGGCTATGGAATGAGTGTTTAGCGATATCTGCCGCATGCAAATCTCCAACTGAACATGAAGAAAATTAGGAACGTCACGTTTATTACACTTACAAAAGGCTCCAATTAAATGCACCCGGTTTTATGTCACGATTTTGGTTTGCCATTGATCAATTCAGCCAATGGCTTCCAACTTCCATACACTTTTCGTATGCATGTCTTACATAAAAAATACTTAAATATATCCACCTGGAAAGGTATAACAAACTGAAATAACATTCACGTGAGCTACTTAATTATTTGTTAGTATTTGTAATGTTTATATTCTGTGTTAGATTTGTCTAATTCCTTGTATCATAAAACTAGTGGTTGACCTAACGATATCTGCAGAGTTTGCATCCTAATTAAGATATTGGGAGGCGCACCAACTTCCATCTATGGTCAGAAAAACTCTTCTAAGTGTCTAATAATAATAATAATAATAATAATAATAATAATAATAATAAATAAATAAAAAAATAAAAAAAATAAAAAAAATAAAAAAGTACGTAATTTCTGAATTTCCTTGTTAAAAATACATAAACATGTTTAAGGTGTCCTATGGATAGCTTTAAAAACGACTTAATATATAGAGAGATTGAGATGAATTTAGATATTCATAATCATAAATCTAATGGTCGAGCAGTCAATTAAGTGAGTGCAAATTTTAAGTATTAAAATTCACATTCAAGCCAAGTAAAAACAAAAAGCACTAAAGATCTCTTCCTTTCTAAACTCTGGTTGGCATAATTATCTGATATTATACTAATATCATACGTGCAGAATCAACATAATAAGCAAGTAATATTCAAAAATACCCTAAATTCAGATGTTGATGGAATAAAGAAGGAATATATTCTTAATTTTCTTGGAATATCCAAATAAGATTGACGAGGTACAAATTTCCCATTTTGTATGTCACTATTTCTACTTGATGATTGAGGAGCTAAACACATTTTTTTCTACTAAAAATATTTGAATATTGAAAAATAAAAAAAATGATTTATCGTATTATATGGTCTCAAACTTTGTAAATTTAATTCAAAAAAAAAAGTTAAGAATCAGTGTGGGATTCACACAAGTATTTGAAAGTTTGAGTCTCATTTATTTTTGTAAAGAATATACAATATTATTAGAGTAATAATGTATGAAGCTTAGCTGAGGGTGATTATTAAGGGAGAATTAAATTATCAATTTGTTTTATTGTTAATTAAGCCGTATCTAATCATTGCAATTGCACTGTAAGAGAAATAACACGGTGGGACCCAGAAGCGCTCAACAAATGGAATGTTAAGAAAGGCGGAGCAAAGGAAAGAGAGAAAAAAAGAAAATCGCCAAAGAAAGACGCAGAAGAAGAAGACCCGCACCTTTCCGTCAGTTCTTTTCCCCTTTTTTTCTCTAAAGTTTTTTCTGTATTGACTTGTAATCAAAGGTTTTTCTTCTTTCTATCTTTTCTCTTTGATGCATTTGTTGAATTTGAATGATCCGGTTTGGACCACAGCTGAATTTTGTACCTCTTTAATCTTAGGACTTTGTAAGACTAGAGAAATGCAGACAATTTTATTTGATCTGATTATGTGATTTGAATTCTGTGAAACTGGTATATATATATATATATATATATATATATCTGAAAATAGGAGCTGCAAAGGGTTTGTCGCTTAATGAGTTTTTGGTTGTTAATTTTGCGAACTATTTGAGGCAGTGTTCCAGAGGGAGGTAACTGATCAATTCTTTATAAAATTGCATCTTTTTTTTCTATTAACATAATGGTGGTGTCCCGGTCAGCTTGTGATAACTAAGTTTAGACAGATGAGAGGAAATTGCTTAACTTTTTTGCCTCTACTCGGATTTAATATTGCATCTCCGTGAATTATGTTTTCCTATACAGAAATATATGTTCCTGTAACTATTAAATGCTTAGCGCCATTAATTTAAGTGATGCCTGCTTTTTTGTTGCCATTTGTGTATGCAACCAACTTGTGGATGTGAATATCATAATCACATTTGTTAAAGTGGAAAATATTCTATAAACTATTATTTTGCTACCTGAAGCGCGGATATCTGAACTAATATGCAGCATTTCTGGTTCCAGCCCCCTGAATGCTTTCTGAGTGTTGCTGCGTCCTCCTGCTATCTGATATTAGAAGTATATTGGCAACGACACAGGTAAGCAATTGAGTTTTCCATATGTGACAATTCGTAATTTACTGCATAAGGTTTGTGGTTTGAGATTCAATGTTTAGCAACTTCATCAGTCTACTGATCGCAGATGTGGCCTTTATATGTTCTCTTGAGTAAGTTTTCAAGGACAGAAGAAGAATACTCTCAAGGATCTGGAAGGGATCGTTTAAGCTTGGTAGAGTCCTTCCTTTGTAAACGATCAGTTGGCACAAACAAATGCCACAATACAGTCCTCTCATGTTCGTACTTTTGTGAAGTGAGTCCATTTGCTCTATTCAATCATTTGCTTTTTAGGCACTTTTTTGAAGTTTTTTGCTAATTTAAAATTTTGAATGTTGGCTAATATGTGTAGATAAATGTTTGTATAATCTATATTTTTAGCAAGCGGCTTCTTGATATATGCTTAATTGTTTGTCTAGTCTTAACAATCAGTTTGTGCTTGTCACTTTAGGTTCCACATATTAACCAGTTACATTCATGGGACTGTGGTCTTGCTTGTGTTTTAATGGTTTTGAGGACTCTCGGTAAGGATTATGATATGCAAGAACTTGAAGAGCTTTGCTGCACTACAAGGTACATCTTTTAAAAGCTTTCAAAATTTACTCCTTGTTCTATTAGTACTTCTTTTGCTCTGTTGTGAGGATAAATATCACATTTAACTTCTACTTCATTCATCCTTTTCTTTTAGTTGTTTTAATCTAATTGCTTATTTGGGAATTCCCCCTTTGCATCTCTGCAATGCTGAGTTAATTTGAGTCTGCATTACTTAAAAGCCCATAATTGTATATCATGTATTATTTGATGTCTTAACCTCAGTTGACGCTATGTTATTTTATTAGACCTTTACTTTTTACATGTTTCTCCATGTGTTTGGATCTTCAGATTGGATCAAATAACTGTCATTTTGGTGCTATATGTAAAGAGTCAATATATTTGTACCTAGAGGTGACTGGGGCAATATAGGCTATTCCTATAAACGGGTGATTGCTACATTGATGTACATAATGATAAGTTCCTATGATAAACTGCAAAGCATGTTAAAAGGAAGTACACACTTTCCCTCCTACTATGAAAACTAAAGCATGAAGCACTGATTGGTGGCATCAACCGTGCTATGGAAGAAATGCTTCTTTCCCAGGAAGAGTGAATCAAATCTCCTAGATTTACTTGTCAGACATGTTTCACCTATTTCCGACGCTAGATTAATCCTTTTAGATGAGTGAACAAAGCCGTCAATGCTAGAGAAAGTGAGAACTTCCAGTCTAGCCCTCTTCTATCTTCTTTCTTTTTTGAAGTCTCTTCATCAGTTCTTAGTTTTCTTATAATGTTAAAACTACGAACATGATTAGCCTTTTCCATTTCATTCTGGTGATATTCTCATTCTCGAGCTGGATCTTGCAGATAATTCTATGGGAAAAGTGTCCCTTTATGCTTTAAAACAGTAATGACAAGGTGGGTTGCTCTGATGGTAAGCACCCTCCACTTCCAACCAAGAGGTTGTGAGTTCAAGTCACCCCAAGAGCAAGGTGGGGAGTTCTTGGAGGGAAGGATGCCGAGGGTCTATTGGAAACAACCTCTCTACCCTATGGTAGGGGTAAGGTCTGCGTATACACTACCCTCCCCAGACCCCACTTGTGGGATTATACTGGGTTGTTGTTGTATGCTTTAAAATAGTTAGTCAGATTTTGACTTTTGCAGGATTATTGAGAGAAGCAAAATTATACTATTCATGGAGAAACATGTGGTATATTTGTGGACATTGCAAAAAAAAGATAAAATTGAATTGAGTAGATTAAAGGTGGTTTAAAAAAAATATTTGTGGTATATTATCGACTTCAACTTGTTTGGGACTAAGGCGTAGTTATTATTGTTGGTAATTTGAAATTTTAAACTTCCCATTTAACAATCCACAAAGAGAAAGTAAGACCAGCGTTCTAGGACTCAAAGGAGTAATTGGCCACTGTTATGTTTACATTCGAAATTAAGACCCGCTGTTTTAGACGTAACAAGCCCATGATACTGTCACACCCCAGAACTGTATGAGCGTGTGACCAGCACCCAATTGTTGTTTTTTCATTTAGTGCACCTTATGTCTCTCATTTGGGTTCCTTGCTGGATTGCTTGAGTTCAAATGAAACATTCATTCACTTACCTCTTATATGAATGAGATAAAATGCTTCACAAAGTTTATTGACGTTGTTCTTAATCCTTGCAGTATTTGGACTGTTGATCTGGCATATTTGTTGCAGAAATTTTCTGTCAACTTTTCCTACTTTACAGTCACATTAGGAGCAAATCCAAGTTTCTGCGTGGAGACATTTTACAAGGTGGAGTATTTATGGTTGATTTTATGCACTTAGAATTGCTTACATTTTTTGCTGCTCTTCACTGGAAGGCTGTTAGAAATGAAATGAGTAACTGCAAAAATATAACTGAGGATAATACCTATATACATCAGCTATTTGACATTGTATGTATTTATTTTTTTAAAAGATTCAGTAGCATATTCATCTGATGTGTTTATGTGTTCAACTGCTGTTACCATATCAAATGTCTGTGACATAACATACGAAATAGGTTCGTTGTGAAGAAAACATATAAAATGTATTTAGTGTGAACTGTGAGGAGCATCACATCAACTTCTCTTTATCACTCTTGAATAGAACTTTCAGGGGATAAAATAACCTGTTAGAGTGGTCTCATTGTGATTTCACTTTTGCAAGTATTTCAAGCTTCTAAATATGCATGATGTAATTGCACCCAAGGGTGTGGCTCAGTGGTCAATAAAGGGGGTTGAGAACCATGAGGTCCCAGGTTCAAATCCCATCGGTAGCAAAAACACTAGGGTGTCGTATGGTTGGAAACTAGTTATCCCAGAATTAAATATTCCGGAATTAGTTATCCCACCCTTTCAGAGGGATAGAAAAACACTACAATCCCGGGATAATTATCCCGGGATTAATTATCCCTTATCCCTCGTACCAAACGAGCCCTAGGTGATTTCTTCTAATCTGTCCAAGTCTTGGTGGATAGAGTTACCTGGTACCTGTTGCTGGTGGGAGGTAACAGGTGTCCAGTGGAATTAGTCAAGATGCGTGCAAGCAGGCCACGGTTAATTAAAAAAATACGTATGATGTAACCATCGGATTCCATTTTGATCTCATTTATCAAAGTGCGCATTTGCTTATTACTTATTAGGAAAGTCAGGTAAAACGTGGCAGGTATTGTACCTTTTTATATCAGTATTAACATATACTATGAAGATCAATGTGCTCCTTGTGTTTTAGTCTTTGTATATTTAATATTATCAGTATGCTGATTGTATAAGAGAAGCAGGATCTCAGGGTAACTAAAAACATGATAAACGTATAGAGAACGTACAGTTCCACACACTGTTGGTTTCATGCAAATCTGAGAAATTTACTTTGTCATTCTTCTCCTGTCTTTGTGATGCTGATCAGATTGCACTTTGCAGGAGCAATTGTCTAATGATCTGGTCCGAGTTGATATGCTATTCCAAAAGGCACGTGATACTGGTATTAATATAGAGGTACAACCCACTCAGTTATATCCAATCTTATAATAAATAAGTTGCCATGTTATTAGTCAGGGCATAAGTATTTCTCGTCATCAGAACTAGATCTTTGCGTATGAAAAGAGTTGTGATTGGGAGTCTTGTCCAATTAATTCTTCAACGATAGCTCATCTACTACTTTCACTGTTTAACCTTCTGTTTTGTTTTGTAAGGCTACCTCTAATGGCTAGCTACCATGTTAACGATCTTCGCTTCTAAAGCTTAAACAAAGTGCAGTAGATGACATGTTGTTTTTACCTCCAGATTGCGTAGCAGCATCAGTATCTGGTGTAAAGAGTAAAGGATGTTCTTTTTGTTCATTTTTGCTTGGAAACCTAAGTCTAATTGTTCAACTAGTTAGAGTTGGGACTGAAGCACATGATAGTAGTTGGTAGATTAACTAATTGACCTCCTGCTTTGAGGCTTAATCCATTGAATTTGACCTCGAAACATTCTAAATCTGTTTCATGTCATATTATCCGGTGAGTAGGGCAATTCAGATGTACCCACCTTCTCAGTGATTGATGGTCGCTGAAAGGGGCTTCTTCCGCTTTTGGTGGAAATAGGAGGAAAACTACAATGTTCATCCTTGATACTAGCTTCCTCCTCTAAGTTCCGTCCAAAAGAATAGTGAATAAGAAAACATCGAATTGTCATCAGATTTGCTTGGTTGCCTTGGTAGCCTACACTATAACTTGATCACATTTCCGTTAGCTTGAACTTCTTTGACTGATCGGGTCTTGCATATAACTTATGAAAAGTGGCCCTGAAAGTGCTTTATCATTTATGTGCTGTTTGACAATAATTCTTTTTTTTTTCCTCCGATTTTTCATATGACTGCATCACACGAAATGAGGAAACTAGGTCCTCGTCTTACTTTTTATACATAGTATACATTGATTTTAATAAAGTGTTAGCAATATTCCACCCGCAAGTTGCCACACCCTCCATCTATATGCTTTTTTCAAATTTAGCATTGGGATGGAAAGGAATATAAATACAAATTTACTGTCCTAGCTGGTTGTACCTATGCATCTTGCCAAAGCTTAAGCTTCTCATGTTACTTTGGGATCTCTTTTTCTGCTTACCCTCCTCTATTGTTGTTTGGATTCCCAAGGGATAGTTTATTCTCCAAATTCGAGGAGGCCTACCAAATTGGGGAGAAAGTCTCTCAGTCTTTATTGAGTCATTCACCTAGTCCAAGGAAGTGAGGATTGATACACAGGTCATCCCCGAGAGAGGAAGCTTCAAGTATCTTCGGTCAATAATCCAAGGAAATGGGGAGGTCGATGATGATGTCACACATCGTATTGGAGTGGGGTGGATGAAATGGAGGTTCGTATCCGATGTCCTATGTGATAAGAATGTGCCACCGTGGCTTATAGATAAGTTCTATAGAGTGGTTGTTAGACCAACTATGTTGTATGGGGCAGAGTGTTAGCCAGTCAAGAAGTCACATGTCCAGAAGATGACTATAATGGAAATGAGGATGCTTAGATGGATGTGTAGGCACACTAGGAGAGATAAGATTAGGAACGAAGATATACAGGAAGGTGGGAGTGACCTCAATGGGGGACAAGATGCGGGAAGCGAGACTGAGATAGTTCGGGCATGTAAAGAGGAGCACAAATGCCCCAGTGAGGACGTATGAGAGGTTGGCAGTGATTGGTCTAAGGAGAGGTAGAGATAGACCGATGATGAATTGGGGACGGGTGATTAGACATGACATAACACATCTCCAGCTCACCGAGGACATGACCCTAGGTAGAAAAGCATGGAGGTCGAGGATAAGGTAGAGGGTTAGTAGGTAGTAGAGTAATTTCTCTCTTTCCTGTGGGAGATCATGTTCTATTTTAGAGCATCTTATCTGCTCCTTCTCCTACTTATTAGTATCATTATTATTCTATTATTATTTTATTCTTCAATTATATTATTACTGTTATTTCTTTTACTTGGGTTATCTTTACTATTTTTGCTGTCAGTACTTTCTTTCTTTTATACAGTATTTTCACCATAGATTTTTTTACTATTGTATTTTTCAAACCTGTTTTGAAAACGCTTTTCTTCGGCCAATGGTCTATTAGAATCTGCCTCTCTACTTAATACAAGGTAAGAGTAAGGTCTGCGTACACCCACCCTCCCCATACCCCACTTGTGGGATCACACTGTGTATGTTGTTGTTGTTGTTACCTAGTCCTCTTTGCTTCTTTCATCCATCTTATTTATATTTAATTTCAACTATGACATCAAGGTAAGCTGTAAAAACATGGAAAGATTCTTCTCTATCCAAGAGGCTTAAGAAGAATTGATGAAAAGAAAATGGATTTTAGGATATTAAAGATTCCTGAAAAATGAGGAGAAATGGCACAATTTAATCTTTTTTATTTTATTTTATTTAAAAAAGTTCAATCTTTGTGGCTGAGATTACTTTGTTCCTAGGAGTTTCTCAGACTGCTTTCTATTGGTTCTACACAGAGGGAAAGAAGTTATATTTATTTGCTCTATAACATATTTTTAACTTTTTGTTCAACACATGGTGGCTATTAATATATTACTAATGAATCATAAAAAAGAAAACCGTCTACACTCTCTCACATTTCAGATTAATTCACTTGACTGACTATTGACACTATTTTCTGACAGCTATTACTCTCCAAAGTGGAAATATTGAGAACTGTGAACTTTGACCAGCTGTTAAGTTAGGATGTAAGTGTGTAAGATAGTTTTGGTTTTGAATATTGGGATGAGAACTTATAAATGGAGCTTTACTAGAGAGGGAGATCAGTAGGATGAGCCTAGTGGAACGGAGACAACTTCCAAACAAAATGGAGAGTTGGTGAGAGTTTAACCTGATAAAACTGGCGAGTGGGGTAGGTAAAATACACTGATTATAGTGCCTTCTCTAGGGGAGGCAAGAAGGGTTTAAGCAATTATTGCTTTAGGTGAGAATGGAAGTATAATGCTCCTTTTCGGGAAAAGAAGGGTGCGGTTCAGAATAATAACTTAATTTGTGTTTATAATCCAATATTATTAAGCCTGATCATCTATCAGCTCATCCAATAGATCAGGATGGTTTTAGGAAGTGGCTAAGCTCCTTTCACTCAGTATGATCAATTAAGAGGGTTGCTGTTCCTCGTTAAGGTTATATGTTCTATCATAGAGTTCTGGCTTTCTCATGCTCCATGCTTCTTTTTTAAGGTAAGATAAAGGGCCAGGCATGGTGAGCTAGAGCTTTCAATTGTAATCTTTTTGTCCTGACCAAGAAATCCTATTACCTCCGAATTGCAGGGCATCTTACCCGAAAGAGTTTTTTGCGCTTCCATGTGATTTTGTTTTGATAACCACAAGACCTTTCTTCAATTTCATATAAACTTTAAATATAATGTGTGTTGGAGAAAGGTGCGATCAGTTAAAAAATATAACAAAGTTAATGTTTACGATTGGATCATATTTATGAGGAGTGCCGTGACTATGGAAGAGAAAGAGTGAAGAATAATATACGATTTGCAGGATAAAGTTTGTGTAAGGACTAAGGTGGTACTTATCAAGAAAAATATTTTGGCTAAGTGATGGATCGTGGGTTTCTGTAGGTAGTAGTACGTCCTGCTCTCTATCATCAAGGTTAGGATAGGGTCCTGTTGAGGTTATTCTTAATGAGCCTCTGCATCATAACTCCAGCCCACGAGCCTTAGAATTGTGGCAATGCAACGGAGCCCTGCTAGGTTTGTTTCTAGACCAACGATTTTGGTATCTACACCCAGGATAGGAGGTATATTTGTCAATGTCTACACATATATATGGTATATATATACCAAAATGCAAGTATATATATTTGTGTTGGTATCGATAGATGTGTTAGTAGAAGAGGAATCTTTTGCATGGTTATGACCAGAGTTCCCTCTAGTATGGGCCTTGTAGTTGAACTGGTGGACTGAGGATCCGTTTATGGTGGAACTTTGACGAATTAGTTGGACCAATCATGGAGCTAACGGATGGCATGGAGCACATCAGTGATTGGTTCTTCCTTGGGTTGGCCAAATCTTGGAAATTTTTGGTTCCAGGGTGTGGTATGTACCTCAAATAGATTTTGGCATTAGTTAGTTATTTGAACTGAGAATGACCATGCATTGCAGCTTAGCTGACCCTCCTACTACAAATGCCTAAGCTTGTTTATCTATCTGCCTTGGCTCCTCTTAAATTGTTTGGAAAAGAATTGTGAAGCATCGACTTGTCATTTAGAGTTTTGCAGGCCTTATTTCTCTCATTCGTGCGAGAAACTGAATTCAGCATATTATATACATCTCTGAAGTTTTAGTACAAACACATCCTCTTTTTACAGTGCAGATCGATTAGCAGTGAAGAGATTTCTTCATTGATCTTATCTGGGAAATTCATTGCGATTGCTTTAGTTGACCAGTACAAGTTAAGGTAGAGTCTTCTGCTTATACATTTTTATCTTCTTTCTCCTTAAATTCACCACCGCCCTACCTCACCCTCCAGAGAAGATTGCACCGGAAATGAGAGTTCTCTTTAGTGTATATTGTCACCAATGAGGGTAATAAGTGTTTAAGTTCTGCTTCAAGGCCCTTATTGTACTTCTGTTTCTCTTTTTTTTGCAGTCACTCTTGGCTGGAAGATATTGGTATATCAGACTTCTGCAATGACAACCCAGGCTATACTGGTGAGAAGCATCTTCGTGTAGTTTATTTTTTACGTGTTTGTGTCTGCTTTTCATGTAGAGTGAACTATATTTTGTATTTTTATAAGTCAAAATAGTTCATTAATGTCACACCAAATCGTTTTCACTGTCCAATGTTTTTTTTAATTACAAAAAAATCCAAGCAACTGCTTATACAATATCAAATATCCTTTTTACACGAAAAAGCAAGTGAAACAAAAAGGAACTCTTTATTCTTCACCATGGACTTTCCATTCCTAACCTTCAAAAACCTTTATATTTCTTTTCTCACCATAGACCATATCTACCACAACAACAACAACATCATACCCAGTATTATCCCACACTATGGGGTCTGGGGATGGTAGTGTGTACGCAGACCTTGCCCCTACCTTGTGTGGATAGAGAGGCTATTTCCAATAGACCCTCGGCTCACGAAAGCATAAGCACCACATTAATGAAAATATAGACACGAAGGGAAAGTACCAAAAAGCCATATAAAAGCAGAATAAAAACAACAAGATAATAATGTGATCAACAATGAAAGAAAACAATGGTTAGTCATAAAAACCTACTACCAACAGAAAGCGAGACTGTGTGCCAATACTACTATTATGAACACTCTACATTATCTACTCTACTACCCTAATTCTCGATCTCTATACCTTCCTATCAAGAGTCATGTCCTCGGTCAGCTGAAGCTGCGCCATGCCTTGTTAATCACGTCTCCCCACCTCTTCTTTGGCCTACCTTTACCTCTTCATAGACCCTCCAATGTCAACCTCTCACACCTCCTCACCGGGGCGTCTGTGCTCCTCTTCACGTGACCAAACCACCTAAGCCGCGCTTCCCGCATCTTGTCCTCAATAGGGGCCACACCCACCTTATCGCGAATAACCTCATTTCTGATCCTATCTAACCTGGTGTGCCCGCACATCCATCTCAACATCCTCATCTCTGCTACCTTCATCTTTTGAACATGAGCTATCTTGACTGGCCAATACTCAGCCCCATACAACATCGTTGGTCTGACCACCACTCCGTAGAATTTACCCTTAAGTTTCGGTGGCACCTTCTTGTCACATAAAACACCAGAAGCGAGTCTCCATTCCATCCATACCGCCCCAATACGACGTGTGACATCTTCATCAATCTCCCCATCCCCCTGAATAATAGACCCAAGGTACTTAAAACTACCTCTCCTAGGGATGACCGGTGAGTCAAGCTTCAGCTCCCCTTCCCCTCCTCGAGTCTCGCCACTGAACTTACACTCCAAGTATTCTGTCTTGATCCTACTCAACTTGAAACCTTTAGTCCATATCTACCAAAAACATTAAACCACAAAGGGGAGAAACTCTCTACAACTCCTTCCTTGCAACCAATCTCTTCATTCTCCACCAACTTAGGTTGCATCTTGTAGACATCAAATATAAGATACACCAAGGGCCATAGTTTATGGCAAAGCAATGCAGAGCACTATATGGGACTCATTATCGCCATTGTTCTTGAACAAACAACACCAACTAAATATTATCCTCCTATAGTTGCCCGTCATTAGGATTGTATACCGTGCTGTGCCTCACATGAAGAAAGCCACCTGTTTTGTGCCTTCTATTTTCTTTTTCAGTTTTCACACTAACCTTGGTTTCCCTTGATGAATTCACAGTAATATTAAGACTTAAAAGAGAGCTGATTTGATAAGTACACCCTCTAAATAATGCAGTCATCTTCCAAAATTAGTATAGTTGTAGATTTTTGAAAAGAAATCATCGATATCATCCCATTACCAATCTTGAATGGGCCTCCTAAAAGATATATCCTACATCACATGGTACCCATCTCTTGTAAGGGGATCAGCTACTGTGGCCTTCATGGCAGGGGTGATCAAAGTAGAGGACAAAAGTTGTCTTTAAAGTTGAGCATTAATGATCCAACCAAAATCGAACCAATTGCCATTACAAGTGTGAAGCCATTAAATCTAAATAGCTTACTCCATTCCTTCATAAGACATCTCCAATGACTCATTCTTGTATGATGTTGTGACCTTCTACAGTAACCACTCATTCCATTGTCACTCATATTTCATTGGAATTGTCTTTCTCCATCATGCTTCTTCCTTGGCAAGAAAATCTTGCCAACCATTTCCCTGAAAGTGATTGGTTGAAGATGTATAATCTACAAATGTTCAAGCTGCCAAAATCTAGGTGAGCAGACTTATCCCAACCCACAAATAATTCCTCTCAACATTTGTTCCTTCCCACAAGAATTTCCTTGTTGCCTTATAATTTCTTTTGCTATCGGAAGTTGGATGGGGAACAAAAACTAGGTAAATGAAATGCTAGAGAGTTTGGATTTTGTTTAGGGTGACTCTTCCTTATTTGACAAATACTGCATTTTCATCTCTCCAATCTTCTAGATTACAGGATGTTGGAGTTCCCATCTTTGGTTCTTCCTCCCAAAGACAATCCTAAATTTTTAGTGGAATGATGACCACCCTGCATCCACGTATCATGGTGATCTCACGAGGATTTTGTACCCCAGACCAAAACTAATTCGATCACATCTAGTTGATCCATAGGGGAAAAAACAGCTTCCAGTCACACCAATGTTCTGAATAAGAGTTGGATCGATCACCTTTGCGGTTCACATAAAATCAGTGTATCTCTATATTGTACATCTACAAAATCAGTGTAGCTCTATACACAACATTAGTGTATCTTATACTTATGCTTATATGATATTAAAACTAGGCTAAAATTGGAAAATAAATGCTCTTGAAAGGTCATTTCTATACACATGTTTTGATGAATATCATAAATTACATGGCCAAATACATACACATATATTTCAAGATTATTATGGGATTATCCTTAAAATTAAAGTCATAAATAGAAGGTGTTAGAAATATTGTCGAGACATGGAAATTTATTTCCAAAATGATCTGGTATTTGTTGGAGTTTATTTACTTTATCACCAGTTCATTGATGGAGCATTGCCTTTTAGAAAGATAAATCAGAATGTTCTCCGATTATTTGTGACATAGATCTGCATTGGTGGGAAATTAACATTTTTCTTGTAAATTTTGATTTCTGGACTTTAAAAACTCTGTATAGAGTAGAACATTTGCTAGTGCTTCTTCGACAGATTGTTTACGACTTTACATACTCCATCCTTTTTGTTCACTAAACTGAAATATGGGCTTTGACACTGGTGTTTGGTGGCTTATGGTTTTAGATCAATTTGTGAAAGAATAGTGCATTAAAGTGGTTTATTATCTGAAAAAGGATCTCCTCCCTTTTGTTACATAATCATAATCTTTTTCTTAATCATGTCTACGCAGGTCACTATGTTGTCATCTGTGGATATGATGCTGATACAGATGAGTTTGAGATTCGTGATCCTGCCAGTTCAAGGTTTGTCTTTGTTGATCTTCAATACATTCATAAAGAACATTCAAAAGAGAGAGGAAAAAGCTTATAACATGCCTTTCCTTATAGAACTTGGCAACACTTATTTATGATGACTCATTTTACCTATAATGCACAATATAAGAGATTTTACCGGAGATCCATCAGCTATGAGAACTTACAGTAAAGTACCACTTCATGATTAAGATAACTTACTGGTTTTGCAAGCTAAGATTAGGAGTCTTACTGTTCATCATCTTTTTTTTGTTGAGCCAACAAAGATTCGATTTCTTTGTTTTATGTTTTTTCTTCTCATGTGAGATGCACATGAGCAAATCCAATTAACTCTAACATGAGTTTTAAGGTGTTCCATTAGTTTTAGGGTTGTCGACTGAAAGTCTCCACCTTTTGCATACATTAACAACTATTTATATTAAGGGGTATATATCAAGGACCAAAATGGTCTAACCCCTATACACTAAGGGACCATTTGGGTTTTTTTCTTTTCCTTTGTAATCTCTATTCATGGAAGACTTTTGACCACAAGCACATTTTCTTCAATTTGTCAAACAATTTCCTTTCGGCAAATATTGGGTAGGTTACGACCCAAGCCTGTCTGTCAAAATATTGTTTGCTTTGGTTCGACCCCACCTGAGCCTTAGGTTTTTGGGCTCACGCTTTTGTCCGCTTGGGCTTTAACTCAAAAGACGCCTCAACAGTTTAATCTTGAACTCGCTCTTATGTGGCCCCTATTAACCCTCTCATTCCGATGTGGGATTTGCTTAAGGCAAGTTTCACAACGAACATACTTTCCAGCTTATTGCCAGTGGTCCGTGGGTTGTTACAGCCTTGATCGATATGAGAAAGATGGGCTCAAGCTCCCAATCTATACAAGGGGCTTGGGCTCGAAAGCCGTTCTTACTCAACAAGCACCTTTCTTAGTATGGTTGTTTGTTTTGCACAAGGTACCAATGATTGCTCATGTTCCTAGACTTTGAATGTAGGATGAGGTGAGTGATTGAGGTTACTAATCTAGAGCAGTGTTGTGAAGAGCGTGAAGCGAGAAAAAGAGACAACCCCCATTTCGCTTAAAGCGAGAAGCGAGAAGCGAAGCGCTCGCTTTTTTGAAGTGAAGCGGCATTTAAAAAATATATTAAAATAAATACTGCATAGACAACACATGTAATTGTAAGCAAATGTTCAATACTTCAATGTAAAAACTAAATAGTAGCATCAATTAAAGCACAAAATGAGCATCCTAATCTTCTACAAGATTGTCAAATTCTTGTATTCCACTATCATTATTATATTGCTCGTCATCTTCTTCAACATAAACTAGGGACAAAGTAGCTGCCTCTTTTCCCTTAGAGGTAAAAAAAAAAAACTGGGCAGTAAACTGGGCAATTTTTTCTTTCACTATTAAAGATTGGCATAAATTTTGAGAAAGAACCGAAGGTAAAAAAATAAAATTCGCCAGCATTTCGCTGCTTTTTGGACGTTTAAACAGTGAAAGAAAAGAAGAAGAAGAAGAAGAAGAAGTTCGAGAAAAATCAGAACATACCTGTTGTTTGAACTTGAAGTTGAAGAAGTTGATGCTTTCGGTCGATGAAGAAGAAGACGTCGACCAGTGTTTTTAAAACCCTAGTCGCATTGCATTTGTTCGTTTAATAAAAGACCAGACCTCGTTTTTAATAAAATAGGCTGGGTCTGTTTTAAAACAGAGAAGCGGTCGCTTCTTCGCATCGCTTTCCCGCTTCTCGCTTTTTAGCGGGAAGCGGTCGTTTTTCTACACCTGAGTCGCTTCAGCAGGGTGAAGCGTGCAGCTTCTCGCTTCGCTTCTCGCTTAAAGCGAGGAAGCAAGCGCTTTTTTAAACACTGCTCTAGAGTGGAGAAACATTAGCATTTCACCAAAATGGAATATGGGATATTAATGCCATGATTACTGATTGGACAATAAGATGGATGAATATGTTAAACCAAAATGGATAGGAAAAGAGGAGAAATGTTGTGTTTCAACTAGAAGTAATCTAGAGAAGAGTGTGGATGCACTGTCCTCTTTTGGTCCTTTTCCATTATAGCTTATCTGATTATACAACAGCCTTAAGGAATCCTCATAAGCTTATTATATAACGACTATGATAGAAATGACACTAGTAGAAAACTTCGTGATGAGTGGCCAGAGAAGCATCGATGCACTGATTTTAGCTACTATGCATTGTACCAAAGTGTCATACTCATTCGGGATTGATTTAGAAGGGGTGAGGAGGTATATGAGAAGACAAAAAAGGAGAATATTGGGAGAATGCGTAAAGATGAATGTCGTATGATGGAGTCTTTTATAGGCATACTTTACAATGTGTATATTACATTTATCCGATGTGAGACACTAGTATGTGCACTCTTACTTCTGTATGTATTTAACTTGGTTTAAGTCTAGCTATCTTCACCCTCAAGGGTTATGTATATATATGTCGTATGTATCAAAGTTTGTTTCAACCTACATATATAGTTCATGGATTAGCAAGGAACTTAGTTAGTACATAAGCAAGTTAGTCCTCTGACTTTACTGACTTAGTGATTGTGTCTCTGACAAAACGACCGTCATTTCTATATGCTTGGTTCTCTTGAAAAATACTGGATTAGATGCAATACCTAAGTGCAGTTTGATTATTATACATAGTTGTCTGATTAATCTGCACAAACTTTAATTCTCGGAGTAGGTATTTCATCCATATGAGTTCATCAGGTTAATCGTCCTGGCCCTATATGTGCTTTGAATTGCAACCACATATTGTATCATGCTCTTTCAGGAAATTGAATTTCTTCCTATCAAACTACAGTATCTAGAGCTGGAGTGCTTATTAGAAAGTCACCCTGCCAGTCTATATCTGTATAGGTGACATTTTCCAGTCTGTATCTGTATAATCAACTATCTGCTCATTCCTCTATCCTCGTTGAGCAGTCCTTCTCTGTGGACTTTTCATTTACAGAAGGATACAAGCCACTACATCTACTGATTGACACACTAATGAATTGATCACATGGAGATCCATAAATTGACTTACAAAACTCCCAAAATGGCAATGTTCGGTCAGATCACTGTAAGATAGTTTAACTTGCTAACTCATCGCCTATATATCCAAGATCATTAATTAAGAGGCTTGCCTCACCTAGTAGAAAATTTAACATTTAGAACCATGAGTATCGGTAGGCTCTACAATCAGTCATTTCAATCTCCTCAAGCACATCTATAGTATACTTACCTTTTGAAATGGGCATTATGATGCCCGATCTGCATGGGCAGCCTCAATACTCAGAAAATACTGAAAATTTAAGCTGTAACTGATACGGGAAACTAATATCTGAAACTGAAAAGAGAAAGCTGAGTCTGAAATATTGGTCTAAATGTGCTGAAGCAACTTTACTTTAATAATGCTCTCTCAATCACTACCTGTTATCAACATAATAAATGCACATCCACAGCAGGAAGCTAATAGAACACAGCATGATCAGTTTCACAAGTGATGTCAAACTCTTGAACTTTGCTAATTATCAACTTATGTTTATGTTTCAGACTGTATAGCAACTGACATAATTGGCAGACTAGACCCCTAGAGTCTCTCTAAGCATCAGAAATTGATGGTTTCTCTATAAATACTTCATTCTGAAGAAATATTCTTGATGTCAAATTGATGAAGAGGCTAATTGCAAACAACAGTCAATGATATTTATGATAATCCATCTTAATATATTAGGATACTTTTGGCAACCAAAACATGTTTTAAGCTGATCAATTTGACCATTGATAAATGATAACTCAAAAGATATATGATAGGACGAACTAAATAGTAACCTTTTCTTAAACTAAATGGCAAGTCTGGAAATGACGAAAAAGTGCTGTGAACTTAGTGTTCAATAGATTTACACAAAGGCTATATAGTTATGCATCAACATTCCCGTACTTTATGCCATACTGTACATAAATATCTGGAGCTTGGTAAGATATCCGTGAACACCATGCCCTCTGCACCACAATTCGATAGATAAATACTATTATCAATAGTTAACCCTCCAATTAAGATGTTATGTGGTAATCATATGACTCGTATTACCAAATTTCATTTTCTTGGAACCAATATTGCCAAATCTTAATGATTTCATTGTTGGGATTAAAGATAAACGGTAAATTCAACTAGAGAAGGAGCCGCAAATTGCAAGAAGAATTATCAAGGGTTGAAAAAGAGACTGAATATATTACCAGAAATTGACTAGTCATCAGAAACTTTCTGGAGAGTAGTCAAAAAATTCGTAAGCACATGGTAGGGTCGCTGGCTATTCTGATTTGGAGGGTGCTATAAAATTGGACAGGATGTGGTTATATGATGAAAGGTGAAAACACAGCCGGAAAGTTCAAGCCACAAGTTCAGAATCTCAACATAACGCCTTCTTATTTTTTAACCTTTATCTGGATTGCATATCAACATGTTGAAAAGTGTAATATACCTGGTTAATGAAGTCCCAAATCTAGAAGAACTTGCAGAGATTCTCAGCTGCAACATCGGTTCATTTCCCACCACCTATCTCGATCTACCTCTTGGAGCTAAATTCAAGTCAACAGGGATCTGGAGTGGCATAATTGAGAAATTTGAGAAGAGACTTGGAACATGGAAAATACAATATTTATCCATGGGAGGTAGGCTGACATTAATCAATAATGTACTTGACAGCATCCCAACATACTACGTGACTCTTTTTCCTATGCGTAGTTCAGTTCTCAAGCAGCTGGACAAAATGAGGAGGATTTTCCTGTGGTAGGGTAACAGCCAAGATCACTAATTCCACCTTGTAAAGTGGAGCAGATGCACTAAACCTAAGGCAATTGGGGGGTTTTAGGTGCAAGAGATCTAAAGCTTCATACAAAAGCATGCTTCTTAAATGGCTTTGGAGGGTGGACAAGGAGAATCTGGCTGCTGGAAAGAGGTCATCACTGCCAAGTATGGAGCTCAGAACAACTGGTGCACTAAGAGGGTTACATCATCACATGGTACTGGTCTTTGGAAGCACTGGGATGAGTTCTTCGAAAACATCTCTTACAAGGTTGTACACAGTTAAAGCTGGTTATAAACATCTATGCTCTCAAAATGGAATGATCGAAATTGGCCTTGGAAACTCATTTGGAGGACTAGACTTCCCACTAAGGTTAACGGGTGCATGTCTTATACAAGATAATCTTTGGAAAAGGAGCTTTCCGACGGTTAACAAATGATACATATGTCAGAGAAATATGGAGTCCATCAACCATCTTTTCCTTCACTGCACAGTTGCAATAGAACTTTAGAGCTTTTCCTTCTATTTTGGACTGAGTTGGGTGCAGCCTCAGTCAATAAAAGATGCCTATGAGTCCTGGAGCTTTTGCAGAGTTGATAAAGCCATCAAAGAGTCTGGAGGATGGTCCCAGCTTTTGACTTTTGGTGTTTATGGAATGAGAGGAACCACAGATGTTTTGATGGAATTTCGACTCCAACACACACTTTGAAGGCTATTTGTTTAGTCAGCCTTTACAGCTGGAATTTCCTTATTCTTGTAGATTGCCCAATCAATTTGTTGGATTTTGTTAGCTCCCTGAACTTAGCTTAGCCAACATTGTACTGGAGCTAGCATTACTTTTGTTTTTTGTAACTACTAAGCATCTTCTTGATGCCTTTAAATGATATCACTCTTCATCAAAAAAATACAGCCAGAAAGTTCTTGGATCTCATCAGACTAGGTTCTATCCACCGCAATAAACTCGCAGAAAGATAGGTCTAATTGAAATAACAAGTCGTTCCCAGATGTGTTGCAATTGTGATCATAAGTTGGTTGAAAAGTCTCTTAGTAGCAGATGCATGGTGGTGCACGAAGGTGAGGTGCAGTACCTTCTAGTGGCATGTAACAGCATGTGAGAACTATTACAATAGCGGGGCTTCTTGGGTTAGGTTTGCACGAGGATTTAGAGTCAAAGGTGGTTCCGATTTATGCACAACACTCAAAGAATGTGTCAATCTTGGACAAATAAGACAGTCGTTGTAGAACTGCTTGAAAATGATTTTTATTCTACCCAACATGCTGGTTATTCCTCCAAAATGGATTCCTCACCGATGCTCTAATACCATGTGAGAAATAAGAGAAAAGAGGATGAGAAATTGAGACAAGGTGTTAAGATGAATGCTTTACGATCCTCTTAAGGAGCATTGCACATTTTATTTATGTCAGTCATTAGTGTATACATTGTACATTTGTATATGTTTAACAAAGTCTAACTATCTAACAAGTTAGCATCTGTCCGACTCCAGAGCATTGCAGAACGCATGAGATGGAACACCTATGGTTCTTCCTACAAGCTATGGTGCTAAGTGTTATTTGATAAGATTAAGTTACTTAAAGATTTGAGAAATATGGGACATTACACTATGCAATTCACAAGAAGTGCATGTGACGTGTGGTTGACTGTCCTGGTAAGTATATTATTTGCCACCACAATCAAGGAGCTTTTTCTGGTTTTGATAACACGATCTAGACTGCATATTTGACTACTTGTAATTCATTTCTCTGGTCAATTAACACGGAGAAAATTCATACTTGATTTGCTTATGTTGTAGGACAGTGTGTAGAAAGTATTACGTTGACTAATTTGGCATATCCTATATCTATGAGATCGATCTTTACTATTTGGACTTGCACAATTATGTTTCATCTGGTTTTGGGGAGAGTACTACCTTGACTAATTCGACAAATCATACATCTGGTTTGGGAGATTGCATTAGGTTTAAGTACTTCCCTTTATGATAAGTTCTACTCTGAAAGCAGTCACTGATCCTTAATGGACCTGAACATGCGCAAACACACAGATATATTTATATATATATATATATTAATACAAAGTTCGTACTTATTGCCAAATAGTAATGAGTATTAGCGGTATTATTGTGCATAGACTGACGTAAAATCTTGTATTGATGTCTGCCTGAAAACCTTATGCAGGAAGCATGAAAAGGTCACCTCAAGGTGTTTAGAAGGGGCCCGCAAATCATTTGGAACCGATGAGGATCTTTTACTGGTAAAGTTAGCTATCCTTAGCACCTTTCTTTTCTGCTGGTTGAGATGCTTGTTTACTTTGATGACTAGACAGTTAAGTGCCCACTTCATTACGTGTTTGCTTAATCATCTTGCTTGGTAGAAGCATGCATGGTCGGAAGCATTAATTATGATGCAATAGAATGGTGTTTTTGCCTGGGAATGCAGGGCACCTTTCTTATGGTTCATTAATGCTGCTACTACTAGTCACCAGCCTGGGACATTAGCTAACCACTTTGGATTTGTTGTTGGATAACAAGATCACATTAGTTGCAAAAGCTCTAACCTTATAACTAGATATGTTACAAAAGCTCTATATGGATTTAAAATAAACGGCTGGATAAAATTAGTAAACATTATTCTTTTCGTAATGACCATGAATCTACAGTGTCTTCACCTTGACCCTCCTGAGATTGTTGCCCAGGAATCAGTTGTGTAAATGAGAATAATCTATTCCAAAGGAAGCTGTTGCATTAAAGTTTCCTAAATTTTACATCAGATAGTTTTGTCTTTTTAATTTTTTTCGCAGGTCTTTTGAGGAAATTAAGTTATTACAAGTGACATTCTTAATGGAGTAGTATTTTATATTTCGCATGCAGATCCGTTTACAGAAGGAAGAGACTGAAAGCAGCCCTTTGTGATCGTTTATTTATTTGTGTATGAATGATTGTTTCTCTCTGACTTTGTCCTTGCTGCTTATTGCCCATATCGGGTATTCTTTAGCTGTATGTATATTATGTACATCAAGGCTGTAGTATCATGAATTTCGCTTCCTTGTATCATGAATTTTGTATAGTATCATGGTTGTGCACGAGAAGTCGTATCATTGGTACCTTATGATATTAATATCAAATCCAGAAGTTACTAATAAATGGTGAAGTTAGTAGTAGTATAAACCTCCTCGTAAGTTACGTAGTGTTCCATTGTCTTGTCCTAGTCGTGCAAAACAAATTACATCATTGTTCTGATGGGGATGTCTTTTCTTTTTTTTCGGATCAAGTGGGAAGATACCATGTTTCTTTTCCTATGGTATTTGCATTTCGTAACCTGATAGTTGCTATATGCACTTTTTTTGAAGAAAAAAAATTACGATCTATTAGTTCTTCATTTTTGGCAAAACTGTGAGCTCTTTGAGTTGAGTTGTACCCCTAATGTATATTCTTTTTGTAACTTGCAACAATCTTTTTTTCTTTTCAGATTAGGCTGGCATTTCATTTCATAAAAGAATAGATCGAGTGTTCTTTTACGATAACCCGTCAGATTATGTTGCACTTCATGTCAAAGTCATTTGAGTATTTGTGACGAGTAAGTTGATAAACTAAAGGTAAAAGCTAATGGGGATGGCGCGCAACTGATAGCGGTGGTTGGCGATATATGGTGTTAGCTTATAGTGGTAGTTATCGGTTATAGTTGATGGTGGTTGTTGTGGTATTGATGGTTGGTGGTGATAATTGTAAATGGTGGCCGGTGGTGATGATGAATAACTGTATTGTTGGGGGATTTGCATCTATACCCGTTTTCTGGGTCACGTTTTAACTTGTGCCCGCTTTGCAAAAAACAATTGCAAGCGTACCCACTTTTTTGCGTAACTTTAGCATACGAGGTTGAAGTAGCAAAGACAATCACGCAAAACTTCAGCATTCTAGTAGACGGGCCTGAAGTAGCAAAGGCAATGCTGAAGTTTTTTTGTCCTGAATAAGATGCTAAAGTTATTTAGTTCATTTGTAAAAACTTAAGCACTAAAATGGCTGAAGTTTTTTTGTCCTAGATTCATTAGTTTTGTCATAAAAGCTTTTTCAAAAACTTCAGCAGAAGATGCTGAAGTTATTTAGTTCATTTGTAAAAATTTCAACACTAAATAAGCTGAAGTTTTTTTTGATCGTTCAAATGCAATCAATTTTATAGGAACTATCAATCTCATTAATCAACTCTTTGAAAGGTTGTTGCTTGCCTTCTTCGCAGGAAATAAAGCTAGAGGAACTTGCTACTAACCAACCATTTTTACGAAAGAGTTTCTTTGGAACTTCGTATGGGAAAAAGTCACGTATTTTTGTTAAAATGGAAAAATTATTTCGAATAATGAAGCTGAATCAGGGTGGTGGATCTTTTAACTAAAAGTAGAGATTCTTTTAAATCTTGACGCCATTGCATTGTGGCCACTCAATAGAGCCCACATTAGGCTGCATTAGGAATTTTTGTATTCTTGTGTTTTAGAACAATGTTAAAAACAGAATGAAAATTTCTCTTAAGATGGTGGTAGTATTAGAGAATTAATTATAGTACCTTTCAGTTGTTAATAGAAGAAGAAGAAGAAACGAAGGAGGAGGAGGAGGAGAAAGGGGCTGAAGTTGTTTAAAAACTGGGTACAAGTTAAAATTTTAAAAAAATGGGTATAGGTTAAATGGGGCGACCAAATAGGGCGCCCCGTGCAATTTTTACTGTATTGTTGGGTTATACTATTAACCATGCGGTTTAGATATAGTATTTTGTTTTATTCTTTATGGAACAATTATTTATTTAATTTATTCAATTCAATAAAGTACTATTTTAAATAGATCATTTGTTACATGTGTGTCCTTTTAGTTATGTAGTAGACAATTTAGTGTATGGAGTCTTAGCTCATGCACAGAAGATTAAATTGTCGGTTCTCATAATTAATAAACTATGTTCACAATCGAAGATATTATTGGTAAAATATCTTGATGATTGTACCACGGGATTATAGTATAATTTGTCTTGATTATGGGAGCGATTTTACTCCGACTTCTTGTGCTAGTATACTTAGTGTATATTGAGCGGACCAAGTAGAGAAAATATGTTTCTGTACTGAATATATATATATATNCATTGGACAATAACGAATAGCATTTGTGAAATGATAATTAGTTGATAGAATCCATGACTCGGTTTTGAGTTTGATGATACCCCTTTATGTAAGCTTATAAGTTTCATGTGAAAATCCGGCTGGTGGATTTTGTATCCGTCACATGAAATAGTTTAAGCAAAATTATAAAGAATTTAATTAGTTGATTAAATTTAATTTTTAGTGATTTAATTTAATTAGCTGGTATTTGGGATCTTAATATGGGGAGTTAAAATAAGTATTAGTGAAATTGTTGAAATTCATATTGAGGAGCTCAATTACAGTTTTTAATGGAATAAGCTTGCAATTAACTATAGTAAGAATTAATTCTTGCAAATTTCTATTTAATACAATAATTAGTAGCCTCTTATTATTTTTGTGGTCCCTGCTATACCTAGTAAAACCCTGGACTGACTTGGGTAAAAAAAAGTAACTTGGGAACATTTTTGGAGCCTTATTTTTGGCTTAAAATGTATCATCTTAAAGAAGACTTTTTTTTCACCCAATAACTGACCTTTTAGAGTTGTATTGTTCTTGCCCACTCAAAAAGCAAATTCGTCCAAAGTCTTACTAGGACCATAGCAGAAGACTGCAGCCCTGGATTCTTGTTGTGTGGAGGATTTGTACCACGTTTTCAAGAGGTTAGTGCTTGTAATCTAGTAATTATAACATTGTCTAGTTTACATGTATTTGATGTTTGGGTTGTCTGCTTGCTTCCGCTGCGCATATTCTGACAATTGGTATCAGACGCCATGTTACATCTAACTAGATAATATACTACAACATGAATAGAGTAACATTAAAACGTGTTGTTTAATGATACATGTTTGGTATGATTATTTTATGTAAAAACGTGATTATTTTTATTAGTATTTTAATTTTGATATTATGGATTAATATACATATGCATAAACAGTAGTGTTATATTTAATGACAATCTGTTTAATTACGTTTTGTTGAATAACAATATTTTCTTAAAAATGTGATTGTTTTCAAGAAAAGTACTATTAGTTCTGAAATTGTGGATTAACAGTGTTGTTTCAATAAAAACGTGGCTGTCTTGAATACTATTAGTTATGAAATTATGAATTAATATACGGAATTATGAATAATGGCGTTTTGAACGGGTGAAAAAACATTCTTTTGTTTTTTTACAATTTTGTTCGAACATAGTTTTTATTAAATAATAATAATAAAAAATATTTTGAGTTCTGAAATAATGAATTAACATACATAAGTATATTATGTGATTTGAAAGAGTCAAAATAATTAAAACCCTTAAAAACGCCAAAAATAGAATTCTACAAATAGTTCATGAATTTGAAATTCTGAAATACTATCGAACTCCGATTGGCCTCAAATTTGGTAGGTTCTTCAAAAATGACCCAGTGAGCAATACACATCAGCTCTGCTCATGACGTTTGTCGTTTTTTGGGCATTCGGGGTTGTTTAGATGGGTTTTTGGCCATTTTTATATTTTCTGGAAATTTTTTTAATATCTTTTTTCAAAGAAAACAGTGATGGTAGGGTTCAATTTTTATGATTTCCAATCATGTTTTACAGTAATATAATGAATTTATATGTTGACATAGGTCTTCTTCCACATCGGATAAGTTCATTATAGATGATTACTGTAGTTTTGCCTCTAGTTATTTGATTACTTGTATTAACTCTCCAACTGAGTTACATGTTGATTCAATGAAACTAGAGTTTATAAAAGTGATATTTACCTATCTTAAATTAACAGGTTACTCTCCATCTGAGTTGGTCCTATTTTAATTTATGGGGTAAATATCTTACATAACTCATATATTTTGCATGAATAGTTAAGTTTCCCTAACGAATTTAACTGTTCAATGAGCATGGTTATATGTGTAATGCGCTATTTTGAATTAAATTTTTTTAAATACATAACTAATGATCTATTTAATGTGAATATCTCTCAGATTAACCATGTCTTCATTCAACCAGCTTACCTCAATTTTGAACCAAAACAAGTTAGAAGGACCGAATTATGTTGAGTGGAGAAGGAACCTTGATATTGTCCTAATTGCTGAAGGTTACAAATTTATAATCACCGAGGAATGCCCAGAAAAACCTGAAAATGCTACTGATGATCAGGTTAAGGCCTATGACAAATGGGTCAAGGCTGATAAGATGGCGCGATGTTACATTCTTGCCTCTACGGCGAATGTTTTGCAACATCAACATCTGTCTATGGGGTCTGCTTATGACATGCTCGAAAGTCTCAAAGAGATGTTCGGTGAGCAAAATCGTGTGGCTAAGCAGACAACCATGAAATCCCTTTTGAACACCAAGATGGCTGAAGGATCATCCGTCAGGGACCATGTTCTGAAGATGATGAGTCTTCTGAATGAACGGGAGGTCCTTGGAGCTGTGATTGATAAGAAATATCAAGTTGAGATGGTATTGCAGACTCTGCCTTACAGTTTTCAACAATTTCGCTTGAACTATAATATGAACAAAATGGATTTGTCACTGGCGAAATTGTTGAATGATCTACAAGCGACAGAATCTATTGTCAAACAGCAAGCTCCAATTGTGGCACTCAATGTTGAGAAAGCTTCAGTTTCTAAGTCGAAAGGAAGTAAGAAAAAGAACAAGGCTCAAAAGGTTTTGGCACCTGGAGGTGCGACTGGTGTGAAAAATCCCAAATGAGAGTGCTATCATTCCAAGCAACCTGGGATCAGATAAAGCAGTTCCATGCATATATGGCAAAGTTGAATAAGCAAGGTAATTCAAATTTAAATGTCGTCGAAACTTGTTTAGCGGCTGTCTCTACCATGTTTTGGTGTGTAGATTCAGGAGCCACTATTTATATATGCACTACTTTGTAGGTGTTTTAAGAAACGCGGCGACTAAGTGAGAATGAAGTTTGCGTTTTTCAAGCCAATGGCGAGACAACACCACCCTTAGAATTAAGATATATTAGAGTTTTGTTTAGTAATGATAGAGTTTTAGTTTTGAAAGATGTTCTCTATGTACCTTCTATTAGAGGAATTTGATTTCGGTTTTGAAAATAATGGATGCTAGTTATAATATTTATTTTGCTAATAACTCTGCTGTTATTAAGTTTAATAAACGTTTTATCTACACTGCTGCTAGAGTACATGACCTTTCTATTCTTGACATACCTCCTCATGCGCTACAACAACCAAAAGAACTAAATAACATTAATCTTCCTGTAACGACCCGGCCGATCGTTTTAAGAATTTACGCCCCGATCCCCTATTATCTGCTTTTTCCGTGTTTGTTTCTGCTATTGTGAGTTGCCGGAAGGAATTATTTGGAGTTTCAGAGAGTTTTGGGATACTTAGTCCCTAAATGAGAGCTTAAGTTTTTGAAATTTGACCGTAGTCGAAATAGTTTGAAGACGACCTCAGACTGGAATTACGATGGTTCTGTTAGCTTTGTTGGGTGATTTCGGGTTTAGGAACATGTTCGGATTGTATTTTGGAGGTCCGTAGCTAATTTAGACTTGAAATGCCGAAAGTTGAATTTTTGAAGTTTCCGGTTCGATATGAGATTTTGGTCTGAGGGTCGGAATGGAATTTTAAAAGTGGGAGTAGCTCCATAGTGTTGAATGTGACGTGTGTGCAAAATTTCAGGTCATTCGAACGAGGTTTGTAGACTTTTTGACCGAAAGCGTATTTTGAGAGTTTTTGGAGTTCTTAGGCTCGAATCCATGGTTAATTCGATGTGGTTTTAGGTGTTTTAAGGATTGGTATAAGTTTGAATCGTGGTATAGGACTTGTTCATGCTTTTGGTTGAGGTCCCGAGGGCTTCGGGATGATTTTGGATGTTTGACGAAAAGGTTTGGAGTTGTGAGTTACAGCTGAAGCTTCAAGGCTGCTATCATAACCGCACCTACGGCTTGGGGACCGCAGGTGTGAGACCGTAGAAGCGGTCGAGCAACCGTAGAAGCGGTTTGAGGCAAAAGGCAATTGACCGCATATACGGTCAGGGCACCGCAGAAACGACACTGCATCTGTGGTAGAGCAGTCGTAGGTGTGAAAGTCCCCCTTTAATGATATGTCACAGATGCGACAGGGTCTTCGCAGAAGCGGGACCGCAGATGCGGTTTCACTGGTCAGAAAAGAGACAAAATCGAGGGTTTAGTTCAAAACTTGGAAAAATCAAATTGCAGCTCGGGAGAGGGCGATTTTGGGAGGAATTTGAAGAGGAAGTCATTGGGTAACAATTCCTTACCCCTTTTTAGTTGTATTCCAT